TAATGACGGTTTACATTTTGAATAAATCCGTTACTCCAACACGTGTACAATATTTTACAACCTTTTGCTCTTTACTCTTTTTAATAATAAATATTCCTTTTTAGAAACAGTTGCAATAAATTGAAAGTCAAACGTCAGTATGCTCTTACTTTAATTTCCGTGTCTTTCATAGGAAATGCAAAAACTTACAAGAAATAAGAATTACATATTTTAGATTTCAAGATTTTCACAGTCGTAAGTGTAAAATACGTGCTCTGACGCGAGCAGTGTATGGAGATTACATTTTTTTTGTAGATTACCTTCTTATACTGACGTAACTATCTTTAGTTATCTTTTACTAAATTTTGACGAAAGAGTATAGCAATAATGTGTGAAAATTCTTGAAACTAGCCGTCTAAAATTTAAGATCATTATTTTCAGTTGCATTTTGGTTATTCTTTGAGTATGAAAAAATTAATTATTTTTTCAGAAGTTTCTGGTGGTCAGTATTATGTCGAAACTGCCACACGTAGATCGCGATTTTGATTTCATTGGATGTCGTCAGCACAATTCCAACAGATCACAAACCTCTGTCACTAAACAGCGTGTGGACGCCATCTGTAGAAAATTGCTTCTAATTGTGGGATAAGGTCACTTTCTAGTTAGGATATCGACTTTTTCAATGATTTATGGACGATTTACTATTCAGTTTATAAAAGTAGTTAGACACGCAATACATATTCATATTTTGAGCTGTTCTTCACATTTTTTGAAAACTAGAGCAAACTACATTGTTAACCACGTATATCCGAACAGTAATTTAATTTTTACCTGTCATTCTCAACATTCCTGCTTCTGCTTCTAAATATGCCTTTAACTAGTCTTTCATGTATAAGGTGTCCTCCCCACCTATCTCGTTCATGGTAGTGTTACAACACACCTCTGCTTCCATTTTCGCAATTACAGAAGTTCCGCATACATTTTCACATCCGCTTCTGCATCTGGTTCCGCATTTTTATAGTGAAAGCTTATCAAAACTTAACAAAAACTTATTTTTCATCTTTTTGAAAATCAATATATTAAAACAATATAACAAGTCGTAAAAATTTATTAGTTTTAACACAATTTAAATGGAATTGCTCGTTGCAAAGCATCATGTTAACGATGTAAGTGCTAAATGCAAAATTTGTAGCAAAATACTCGTGAAAAGGTCGCACGACCACTGCATTAAACTGCAGCCTAAAATTATTATACTTCCGCTTTTGCATCCGCTTCTGTGTCTGCTTCCGCTTTCGCTGAAATTTACTTCTGTTTCCGCTTTTATTTCCATCATGCCATTTCCGTTGCATCGTTAGATCATGATGCTCTTTTTTCTCAAACGTTATGTAAAAGCTCCGCATTTCTAACCTTTCCTATCCGCAGTATTTTTAATATCCTTCTTCGAGGACACATTTCAAACACTTTTCTTTTTCGCCAAGAAAAGTGATTTATGTTGGTTGTATTCCGAAAACGTAAATTCCATTTCGTATCAACTTTTCAGTGTAAATTCCTCTGTAATGATTTATATTAAGTACCACACGTAAATTCCATCCAATATGTGCCTCCACTTAATGGAGGCAGTAAATGTAATGCAGCGGTTTCAAAATTTTACAAACTCCATAATAATATTTTAAAATCTCTATTATAAATTAAACTAAGTGGTATTATTCGTAATCCGAACAACAAAACTATTTTGATACTTCTGGGGCAAAAGCTGCCTCCTCAGATAAATAATGGACATCGTTACGTCTAGAATACGAGAGTCCCAAAAACACTTGCTACCTCTGAATTTGGTCTATATTCAGAGAATAAGTTGATAGATGTAAACGACAACTTTTTATCCTTGATTTAATTTAAATAAATAGCACTACAGTATGAATTACTTTCTCGAAATCTACAGAAATATTTTGCGATGAAAACTAATATTCAATGACGAAATATTTGAAGCATTTACGTAGTATAGATCTGTGCAGTTTTATCAGGAAGTCACTAAAATATGGGAGGCACATACGAATCTTGGTGTAATTCGTGGAAAGATAATGTTTGGTAAAAATATTTGGGACAGGTTTCATAAGCACACGTACAAAAAATTGAGTTGAATTGAAAACCATCTGGTTTTTTTTTTGAAGTTGGTTGAAACATTAATACTTTAGGTATATGAACTTAAATCCACAATAGATAAAATAATAGAACCTTTTAAAACCGTCAAAATGTGATTCATTGGTATCGTTTTCCAAAAATAAAAAATAAATATGTATATCGATGTTAGATTTTCTTATCAGATAATGTCTCAAATAAGTTTCAATACTCTTGAACTGTATCAATAGTCAAAAGCAATAGAGACCCTAAATATAAGCATCTAATTTTAATCTATTTAAACAAATTTGACAGTTTTCAAATTACTTTAAGAATATTAATTCTTTATTAGTTAAATTTAACACAATTTTTATAATTTACTGAATAATAATCGAGAGAATATATTTTAAATACAAACACATTTTGAAAAGATCGGTATACAAAACAAAAAAGTATCGTGTCCTTACTGTTGCAGGAATTCTAATATTTACTGTATATTATTTGTTTCGTTATATGAAGAACTTATCTTAACCCTCAAATCAAATCAGTAAACATCTAAATTATTTTCGTATCTTATATCTCTGTTTAAACGTATTCTAAATTTACCTAACATGACATTTTGTCTTATAAATTGAAGCTTTTCCAATGTAAATTAGCATGTTAAAAAAATTAACTCTTTTATTATATTATGTACCACCAGACGTGATCTCTATGAAAAGCCCTTTCATTTTAACGAAATAATACGTAGCCAATATCCTCTCTGGAGGTCCATTCTAAACATTAGTGGAAGGATGAGAACATGAGTGTTTTCGGCGATTGTCTTGCAAACTTTACCTCTTTGTAATATTGCCACAGATAAAATATCTACACTCAAAATTCTGTAACTCGAACTTCTATAACTCGAAAACTTTTCAAATTCGTATATTTTAAATACAAACACATTTTGAAAAGATCGGTATACAAAACAAAAAAGTATCGTGTCCTTACTGTTGCAGGAATTCTAATATTTACTGTATATTATTTGTTTCGTTATATGAAGAACTTATCTTAACCCTCAAATCAAATCAGTAAACATCTAAATTATTTTCGTATCTTATATCTCTGTTTAAACGTATTCTAAATTTACCTAACATGACATTTTGTCTTATAAATTGAAGCTTTTCCAATGTAAATTAGCATGTTAAAAAAATTAACTCTTTTATTATATTATGTACCACCAGACGTGATCTCTATGAAAAGCCCTTTCATTTTAACGAAATAATACGTAGCCAATATCCTCTCTGGAGGTCCATTCTAAACATTAGTGGAAGGATGAGAACATGAGTGTTTTCGGCGATTGTCTTGCAAACTTTACCTCTTTGTAATATTGCCACAGATAAAATATCTACACTCAAAATTCTGTAACTCGAACTTCTATAACTCGAAAACTTTTCAAATTCGTATATTTTAAATACATATTGTTTATTCTAAATTCTTTAACATACTTCTAAAAATAAGAAACGTTATTCATTTAGAGTACAGATCCTAGGTTAAGAATTGGAAATGCAAAAACTTACAAG